ATTATCTATTCTAATAAATGAATGTTTTTTTTGCCACATGTCACACTTTCATTCAATTTGCCAAATGTCATTTTGTGGTTATTTTGAATGAATTTCTTTTCCACATGTCATTTTATGGGTTTTTCTATTTTAATAAATTCCACATAATACTTTAATGTAATAATTACAATAAATAAATTTACTCTAATAAATGAAGGTTTTTTTGTCACATGTCACACTTTCATTCAATTTGTCGTATGTTATTTTGTGGTTATTTTGAATTAATTTCTTTTTCACGTGTCATTTTATGAATTTTTCTATTTTAATAAATTTCACATAATACTTTAATGTAATAATTACAATAAATGTAGTAATAAATGAATATCAATTTCATTAATGGATTTACCTTTTTATTTCAAAATTACCAAATTAAAGCTCATTATTTATTTTGTTTATTTATTTATATTTAAAACATAAAAAAATCAATTTTAATAATTCATTATTTTTTTTATTTTCTTATAAATCCAAAGTTCTTAAATATTTAGACTTTTATATTTAATATTTTTAATTAACTCATATAATACATGGGTCTTACACCTAATTTAGTCATTAAGTATCACAAAAACACAATACTTTAATAATGTTATTTAGTCATTTAGTCATATAATATACGAATCCATACTTGTATCTAACACAATACTTTGTATCTAGCACGATATAATATAGGTATCGATATGATTACATTTAATGTGTTCACATCTTTAAATTCTGGCTTAAAAATATATATGGAAAGTTAGTGATGGTTTAGATATTGTTTTTTGTTTAATAATATTATTATTTCTTGTATATATTAAATTTGCTTAAATTACATTTTTTTTAAATTGTACATTATCGATCATGGTCAACTCAAATGAAAAAAAAAAAGTGAGCGACAAATGCTTTTTTACAGTATGCTAGGCAAATTAAGAGTTTTTAAATCTTAAATATTAATTAAAACTAGGTATGAGACCCGTATATTACACGGGTTGATTAAAAAAGTTAAATATAAGGTATAGACATTAAGTATTTTCTAAAGTAAAATTTTAAAATAAATATAAATGAAATGATGAATAAGTAATTCAATATCTAGTAATAAAAAATTATTATCATGTTTTAAATAATCATGTTGAATATGAATGTGTAAAAATTAAGTATTTTTTATAGTAAAAACTTTCGAAATAAAAACAATAAATAGAATAAACCACAAGGACCATTTATGTAATTTGTCTTAATTAATCTATATTAATAAAACTAATTAATATAAATTCACAAATGGAATTCATTAATATATTAATAGAAATAAGAATTCAGAAATGAAATGTTTACTATACACATTAATTCACATTAATTACTATGAGGTGACATTTAATAGGTGGGAGTTGAATAAAAATGAAAAAAAATACAAAAATGAAAAGTGGAAAAAAAATAATTTTAAAATTCTAAGAAAATGACATGTGTCAAATTCAATAAGAAGTTGACATTTAGCAAAATTATCTTTATTTATTAGGGTAGATTTGCACTTAAAAAAAAGTTTGTTTGATAAATACAAACTTAAAGCTTTAATCTTAAAAAATAAATAAATAAATAAATAAAAAGTCTATTAATTTAAAAGGAGGCTTTTAGATTTACTTTTTAAGTAAATTATATGAATGGTATTTATGGTTTGTAATTTACACGTTTAGTCATTAATTTTTTTTTTTAATTTAGATCATCCTTATAGTTTTGTTTTGTTTTGATTTTGGTCCCTAATCAATATAAAAAGACAAATTTACCCTTATTACTTCTTTTACCCTTTTATATGTCTAGTTTTTAATTAGTTTATTATTTTTTTATTATGTAGATCCAAAAGGAAAAATATGTCATTTAAACATAACATGCCTTAAAAGAAAAAGAAGAGGAGACCTATCTCCCTCATTGCCGCCCCCTTTTCGTTTCCTCTCATGCAGGACGAGATGATCTTGAACAAGTAAAACTCCACTTTGTGTGATGTAAATCGCCATTTTTTATCCAAAGAAGCCCATCATACATTTGTGTTAGTGCACATATTAATAAGCTTATGTTTTACGTTTCCAAGTTACTAATTTTGACATTTAGCTACTTTGCATTTCAGGTATTGTCAAATGTCAAAGAAGCAGTTGAGAATTTAAGAAATGAGGTTTGATGTTAACTTTGATTTATCTTAACTTTTAATATTTATTTTTTAAAATTCAAGGCTTGATAGAAGGAAAGTACTAGTTTTTTTTTTTGGTGAAACTGCTGGGATGGTGGCAGTGATTGATTACAGGGTCTCAATCGATTTTGACCGTTGTTGACTTTTTTTGTTGTTGTGAAGCCCTTTGTCCAAGATTCATTTATCCCCTCTCGAAACCAGCTTCAAAAATGCATTCAACCGAATACTTTGTTTCCAGAAATGCACCACTTAAAACCAATGTTTTAAAAACCGGTTTTTTAATTGAACCGGTCGGGTGACGTTTTCCGGTTCAACCGGATGGTCAAACCGGTTCTATATTTTTATATGTTTTTAATTATCCTGCATACATTGATTACAAAACTTGTCATCTTTTTAGTATTACAAACGTAAATAGAATGCAACATATAAAAACAATTATTATAGAAACCAAAATCAAACAAAGAAGCCCAAAACAAACACAAAAATCCAATACTGTCTGTTTCAATCCGGCTCATTCCGGTTCAGTTCAGCCGGTTGAACCGGTTTTTTTACCAAAATCGGTCGGTTCATTTCGGTCAGGAAATCGTTATAAAACTGGTCCAAATCGAACCGCCGTCACCTCCAGTTCCCAGTTCCCGATTCAACCGGTTTTTAAAACACTGCTTAAAACTAAAGTCTTTGTAAATGATTTTCTTTATTTGGGTTAGGTTTTTATGGTTTGTAGCAAGGTTGTTAAGATCGAGATCCTACGTAGGATCGTTGGGTTTGCAAGATCAGGATCGGGATCCTAAGATCTTACAAAATAAAATATAATTTTAATTTATAATTTTTAATCATGAAAAATATTTCAAACATTCAATTTTTTGTTCAAAAGTTATAAAAACTTCAAAATATCAATCATAATTCACAACACAAAAATGATAAAGGATAAATTGGTAAAGGGTAAAAGACATAAAACGGTAAAAAAACATTTCATTTGCAAAAAAAAAAAATAATAGAAAAAAATTCAAGGTAAGGTAGGATCGGATCGAATCTCGATCCTACCTACGATCTTACGATCCTACCCCAAATACGATCCGTTTACGGATCCAGATCGTTTTTCATACCTAGGATCGTCAGGATCGCAATTTTGATAACCATTGTTTGTATATACTAATTTTTTTATTGGAAATCAATGTTTAAATCAAGATTATGATTGGCTAGAGAATTAAAATAGATACACAAACTCATCAATCGAGAATCATTTTTCGAACTCTTGTCGGTTAATAGAACCACATCATCTTGAAATTCAAAGTATTCCTTTTCAGTTTTCATCCATGGTAAATCGTATGTTGTCTTATCTAGAAGAGAATTATTAAAAAAATATTAATTACATATAATTACGATTTAAATTATTAGGTCTGGCAATCGTGTCGTGTTCGGGTTGGCATGTCGCGGGTTGGCGGGTCAAAATATGCCAACCCAAACACGACCCATTTAAATATACAGGTCACGGGTTGGCGGGTCACGGGTTGGCGGGTTTGGAACATAAACTCATATATGACCCGCCAACCCATTTATTTATACGGGTTCACAGGTTGGTGGGTTTGTGGATCAGATTTGGGTTTGTGGGTCAGATTCCATAAATAAAATTAACAATTAAACATGAATAAATTCTTGATGGTTGATCCAAACATATCCGAATTTTAGACACTTATGTCTTAAACATCCAAATGAAAATTAAAAAACACTCATAGAAACATGTTCAAACTAAACATTAATACAAACATATTCAAACTAAACATTAATACAAACATAGATAATTCAAATTCAAATGATCTATGAATCAATGGTATATATTATATAATAGTTATTAAATATTAATATTTGATATATAAATACATTTAAAAATAAAAAATATATTTTTTATTAAAAATATAAATGGGTTGGCGTGTCAACCCGTTTATTTTTTGAGAAACTCATATATGACTCGTTTAATAAACGGGTTGGCGGTTTGGTGGGTTGACGGGTTGGCGGGTTGAAAAACTCAACCCAAACTCATTTATTTCGTGTCATGTCCCGGGTCGTGTCGCGGGTCGTGTCGAGAATTGTCAGCCCTATAAATTATCAATATTATTTTTCTTTTTCCTACCAAATATTTAAACCTAATAAATATAATAGATGAGAGACGGTCCAAATTCTAAAAGACATCGAGCACATTACTTCAATCACCAACAATGTGGGACAACTCCCTTTTTACTTTTTATAAGTTGCACTTTATCATTCCCTTTTCGTTCACCTGCCATGTGTGTGGGACTCTAAACCTTTTAAATCTCATTATTATTTACTTGTGATATCGCAGTAGGAGGTACCATTATTGCTTGTGATATCGTAGCAGGAGGTACCATTCATGCATTTGAAGTAAATATCTTTATTAATTTTTGCTCGTCTAATATTATGTAATAAAAAAACCAAAGACTTACCAAAAGGTTTTTAGTCTATTAGTATTAGGTGTTGTCTTTTCTTTTAAGGTTGAAGGGTTAAATACCATTTGGAACATAGGTGATTCATTAAGAATGGGTTGATTTTTTTTTCAAAAAAAAAAAAAAAAAAAAAAACTAAAGACCTTAATTAGTTTTTAAATAAATTAAATACAGTTAAAAATTACGGGTTTGGTTCAAATTTTGTTTGAAAAACCGCCACACTGCTGACCATCAAAAACATTTTTACTCCATCTGGAAAGAAAACGGGGCGGCCCATGGTCATCCTTAGACATATCTCACTAATCAAAGTAGTTTGCCCCAAACAAATTTATAATAATCTGCCTATACAATAGAAAGAAAATTAACAATTCACTTTATTTATTTAAATCAAACAAATGTATATAGCATGTGTGGTCTGCATTTTGTCGAGTACTACACCAAATGGAAGAGATAAATAATAAATAATAAATAATAAATAAACTCTTCTGAATATGTGGTCGAAAAATTATAAAAAAAACTTATATACAAGTAATATAGAAACTTATACCGGTGGATTATCATTTAATCGGACATTATACTCCGTGGTGGAGCAACAGGAAGGGGGTTCGGAAGCTTGAAGTTTTGTGTTGTGATAATCGTACCTCCTAAAGCATCCATATGGCTGCTAATCACAGCCCTAATGTGATAACCCTCCGCTTCAATGCCCACTTTTTGTCTTGAAAAGTAATCACGAGTATCCTCTTTCATCTCCTCGTTTGATCTGCACCAAATCACAACATTAATATCTAAATCACCATGTTTGTTACCACATACGTTTATTATTATTATTATTATTATTATTATTATTATTATTATTATTATTATTATGCACCCCTTAAATAAACATGTTACGTATTCTTGAAATTTGGCTCATAAAACAAGATTATTTCAATCTCTAATAACCCAACCAGATTTTACCATTACCTCAAGATTAACTTTGACCAACCACCACATCCGGCTGATATAAGGTCCTCAACAATGGCGTCTTGTAGCTTTTCAGGCTTTCTTGATAACAAAATCAATGGCCATCCATTAGATTTAAGTTTTATGTACAATTCAATCAAGAAAACATGTTTCATATGTTTTGCCTCTCGAACACAATCATTCAAACCATACCGATTGTATCTGCACAATAAAAGATCAAAAAAGAAAAGATTCAGCTAAATATTAGGCTATGTTTGTCAGACTAGACAGACTTGATGGGACAAGACTGAACTGGATGGGGTGAGAGTCATGGGGCATGACAACTTTCCAGAGCTATTTCAGAGGAGTGCATTCCCTGTCCCACCTTGTTGTATCTTTTTTTTTTGCAATTTTTGTCTCGTTAATATCGGTTTAAGTTTCAGTTCAATACATGTCAAACACAGTATTTATGTACTACTCAACAAACTGGCACTTAGGGCGTGTTCGGCACGGAGCGTTTGAGAGCTTCTAGCTTCTAGCGTTTGACAAAACACTCCGTTTTAAACAGAAAGTCTCGTTCGGCACTACAAGCTTCTAGCGTTTAGTTTAAACAAAACGCTCCAAATCCAAATGCTACTTCATGTAGCGTTTAACAAAACGCTACAAGCTACAAGCTACCCGCTACCCGCTACAAGTTACCCGCTACAAGCTAGTTTTGCCGAACATGCCCTTAGTCTATTTGGACCATTTATACTTAGAAAAGCATGTTTACCCGTACGAGAGTGGGTTGATACGAAGAGTTTGGGCAGGAAGGAAGTCATCTATATCCATTAACACAACATCATGACCACCATCATTTGGTCTTATGCCATCCAAGTAATTCTCAATGAGTGAAACCGAAGCGTTCAACTCTCTCATGTAATGACCTTCTTTTATGTACTTCACAGCGACTTCCTTACAAAATCCAGGCAAAGAATACGCTTCCAAGTTATTAATCTCTGCGTGTTGAGATTCCATTTTGCAATGATCATACTTGAACGATTCAATAACTCCAGCTTCCCTGCTTTGACATGACTGTAACATCACAGTCAATGCAGTCAGCAACGTCATCAATAAGATCCCAACAATTATAAGTCCCCCAATGAAGATAGTCGCAGCACATGATGACATATAGATCACCGATTCCATTCTAAATTGACTTCCCATCTCTGCACCAACACATGAAGAACACGATTTAATGATGCGATCTAAACTTATATGGAAAAAATTTCAGGTTAGAAATCCAGAAAGCACAAAGGGTAAGAATACCGGATCCTTCAGCACTTGTGAGACTCCGAGAGGAATACTCCCGTTCCATCGGATGGCCATATGCTGACATCTTCAGGCACCGGCGTTCTTAAAAAATTCTTATAGAAACCGACCTGCAAACAAGAAAGATAAGATGACAGATTGATAAACAGATCAACGTCCTTTTTTCCCTAAATTAAACGGAAACAGGAGATACCGATATCCGATTATGTCTTTTTAAGCTAGTTATGCAAGCAACTTCAGATTTCAAGTCAACTAACAGCATCTTGATACAGTTTGATATCTATACATACGGCAAAATTTAAATTTACCCGGAACATACTTGCGTTAAATTTGGGCTAAGTTTAGGAATTAAATAATTAAGTCGTCAAAAGATGAAGAAACACAGATAAGATAGTCGAAGATTAGAATTTAAAAAACAGGGGAGAGAGGAAAGACCTGATAGCGACATTGAAATTGGTCGAAGACGGAAGCGTGATTGATTAAATGAGGGGAATAGACTAGTAATATCCATAAATCAATTAGTCAAACTTAATTGTTTCCGCGGGATTTGGGATTGAATGGATTGGATGAGGAGACGTAATCAGACGAGAGAGAGAGCCAGTTCACCTCCGATAATACTGTATAAAGTTGAAATTCCACATAAAGTGTATCGAAATTGGATATTAAATCGATTTTTCATATAATTTGGATGATGATGATGATGATGATAGGTATAATTTTGGATCGTCTTGATGGGAACATGGCCATGGAGCTTCGGTGTGCTGCTGCCACTAGCGACCTGCCAATTGGCCTCTCTCTAATAATGTGGTTTTTGCGGAATCTTTTATTTTTTTGGAATTGTTTTCTATTTGTTTTTTTGTAGTTGACCCCACGCACATTTATTATTAAAAAAAAAACTGATTAACATACTAAAGAGTAAATTACAGAAATGGTCCCTGCGTTTTGGTTAGATTAGCAGTTTTGGTCCTTATGTTAAAAAACTGATAAGTTGCATTCCTATGGTTTATGGATATTAAATCGAAGGTCTTTATTTCATATAAAAAGACTAATTTGCTCTTTCTTTTTCTTTTAATAAATACGAATGAATTTTTCATTATTTCAGACAATATCTACTTAATAAGTATTTACAAGTGGTAAACTTTATTTTAGATTTTTTTTTAACAAATAGTTCTTAAAATATAATTGTTATTTCGATAGTTATTATGACGTATGATAGTTGTTTATCCTAATATTTAATATTATTCGTTTAGAAATAACAATAAAACTCAGCTGAATAAAAGAAAAAAGTAAAACACAAAAACGAATGATGTAAACGAAAAACACATAAAAAACAACATTAAATAATTATATTTGATGTTTGATAATTATCCCGGATTTTATTTTAATTTTTTTATTCGAGCAAAACATAAAAAAACGTTATATAATATGAACGAACAAAACGTAAAATAAATAAATAAATAAAATATAATAAAATAAATCGTATATTTGAA